TTTTACCGTGTTTTCGTTGGTAGAGCTGTTTTTCAGCTGCTGTATTGTTGTTGCGGTGACAGAAGAAAACCTACTTAAAACACCCGCCATTGTTTCGCTCGCAAATTTTCAGCGTATCCAAATGTTGCGACGTCCGAGGCTCGCATTTGATTGGCTCTCTAAGAGTTTCATTGATTACTGACCAATCAGACTGTCTGGTTTGTTTCTTTCTTTGCACTGAATTGACCCTCTTCTGCACTGAATTAACTCTCTTCTGCACTGAATTAACTGAAAACTGCATTCATCTTAACCAATCAGAACTGAGAAATTTTTTTATGTATATTAATAATGTTAAAATGTGTATTTACTTGGTGGAAGAGAAGCCCCGTGATCCTAAGAAAAAGATGAAGAGTGTCGACAATAACTTGTGTGAATGGAATTGAGATTAATGGCTCATTAATTGAGCCTTTTCTTTCATCAGTGGTTTTTTCTGTACTGTTCTTCATACATTGTTGAAGATTCCTCTCAATTGGCCAGTCTTGTACTAAAAAAAAATAAAGCAGAATGTTGATTAGGATAATGCCAAATAAATATTGCATTTTGTATTTATAGCCACATTTTTAAGTATTGCCGTCTTCTGTCACCTGTCATATATTTATGTTTTCTAACTTGTAAACATCCTCAAACTGATGATGGATATGCTGTATCCGAAACATGTCTATTTATCCTGGCAATGTTATTGTATGAGATGGTAGTTAAACAAAATATTTCCTACAAAGTTTATCTTTTAAAACATAATTGAGTATATTAGATGTACACTTACTTGAGAAATCACATTTTTTCTTTTGTGCAGTGGCACCATAGGCAAAAATATTTTCCAGTGAAAGCATTTAGTCCATAGGCCATGGCGAGAAATTTCCAGTCTGAGCAGCAGTACCCTAGGAAAACAAAATGAAAAATGCTTCATTGGGTGAACCATTTCCTGTTTCAAGTTGAATGGATCCTAATTCACAGTGTACCTATCATGTACTGAGACATATAGTAAGTTATGTTCATAGCTAGAATATTTACATAATCTCTAGTAATTCATGAAAAAAAAGTTATTTTATGACATAAAATAATGTATTTACCATATTACTTTGTAGTGTATTCCGTCCACCTCGATACCATTTTGTTGAAGGTCATCAACTTCTGCAAACACAGGCCCAAGACAATTTTTTACCTCTAAATATACCTCCTTTCCTGTAGAGATATAACTTTACAATGTTTAATATTCACCGTCTCTTAAAAGCTGGCATTCTTCATAAAACTGCTGGATTTTAAAATATTACCATTATACAGAGCGATGGGGTACTGGTGGTCACAGTCATGTTCTTGTTCATCGAGTATATTGAACACAGCCATGACAGTGCCAATTTTATTGCTGGTGCGTCCTCCATCAGCAGCAAAGCGCAGGCGGAGTTCGTTGCCATTAGCTTGTGCAGTGTTCTTTATACTTTGGATGGACAGCACATGACTGAAAATTGCTTTTATATCGCGTCTTACTCCATCTCCTTTTTTAGCATGTGGTAAATAAGAATGAAGTCTTAACTTTTTCTTTAAAAACTCCATAGAGGTCTATTCAATTTGATGATTATTTCTTTGTAATTGAATTTTTGTGATTTCTATACTGGTCAGATTTTATTCACTATAGTCTCGCTTGGCTTCGGTAGTTAGGTACGTGTAGTTAAAATAAATTATATTTGTTTTCACAGACCTCTGATATTGAATGTAAGGCAATGATCCCATTTTGCCTGTTTCTCTCCTGTTTCAGAACACTGATTGGCGGAAGGATATTTCTTTCCTCGTCTGGTAAAACCATCCTCAACTCATGGCATGCCTGGTCTGAAATCAAGCCTTCATCTTTCGCAACAAGTACATGCTGCGTCGTCCGACAAGTAGAGTTTTCTTTCTCGTCACCAGCATCGTGTCCAAAGGGAATGACAACTTCACTTCCTTCTACAGTGAACTTAATCTGAAGAAGATGACAGGGGTTCCCTTTAAAATTTGTTTTCATACGAATATAGCTAGATAGACAGATTGATCGCCACATAGATGTATATTTTTTTTTCGCTACTTTGCTGCTAGTCAACGTCTCAGTTCTAGTTTCTACGAAAAAATAAAATTGTTACATCCCTCGATGGGCTCAAACTCCTCCAGTCCTTCCACCGATTGAGCCACTAGTTGCCTGACTCATCTTTTCTTACTATTTCTGGCTGCCGGTGTTAATTGCCAGAAGTCCTTTTTGGTATTATAGAAAATATTTTCAGTCTCTCTGTTTCTCTGCTCTAGCAGCATTCCCTCAGCATTTGCTTGTTGAAGCTGAGCTTGGACTTCATTCAGCTGAGTTGCAATGGAGCTGTACTGGATTCTCAAATTGTTGTTCTCTTTTCGTAGACGCCTTATTTCGGCCTCATAAACCTCTCTAAGGGATGGCTGTGTTTGTGCCAGTGTACAACTCTGTTCTCGATTGTGTTGAAAATGAGTTAGAAAACTCCCATCGCTGACGGACTTGACCTTAACTTTCGACAACATTACTAAGTGAGTATCAGTCGTCACTACACCCGGACGTTTCTGTAGTTACCATTATTTTGTGTCTTGTGTTCATTCATGGATAACTTAAACAAAGCGATTGCTTTTAGTAGATCGCTTTAGACTCGTCAATAGATCATTCTTAGCAGGGAGGTGAGAAAATAACCATCTATTGTTTTAATCGTTTCTTATGAAGCGGCCACGTGTAATTAGATGGTTTCTCTTTTAGTTCCCTTTCAAAATTCTTCGTCGTCGAAACCAATGTGTTGGCTTATTTTAACATCGATGAGAGTAAATGCGAGTAACGTGCACCCATGTTCCGACATGCATTCGAGAACGATTGTTGAATATATTTGCACGGATCATATCTTAAAAGCTTTTATAGTTTTTTAAGCATTGTCAAGTTACCGCCTCAATTTCAATACTAATTAGGCGGCGTGTGCGCGATTGTTTGCGGAGGCGGAGCTTAGCATCTATTGATATTCTCGCGGGAAGTTTAAAATAGGTCACTTGTATTCTCGTGGGAGACTCCAAGGACAAAACTCGCGTTTTGCGACTACTTCCAAAGTTTGAAATTCCTTGAAAATTCCTATAATGCTTTCTAGAATGTCAAATAAAAATAACCGTATGGTAAAAGAGAAATCTAGCAATTGAATGAAGATAAATTACGCCTGAAAGTGCGCTGAGATCGACTTCTTATACAAGCAGAATGCTAACATTTTCAAGGCAAATTTGCGACCTCTTCTGAAAGCGCAAGAGCAAAGTGAGAATGATACACTGTTCAATTAAACTTTCTTCTCTAAAANGTTTTTTGTTTGTTCTTTTTCCCAGAGGATGAAAAACTTCGTCAATACGGCTACACGGGTGACAAAGTCTGTGATTTTGTCACGAAAAGTTCAACTCATTGAACTTCTCGCGATTTTTTCAGCGATGTAGTGGCTGTCGCCATCGCAGCAGTTGCGCTAGGGTGGCTACACGGCTGAATTGCACTGCGCGCTGGCGACGCGACAAATTTAGTAAAAATTGCAACACCATCGCAAGCAAAAAATCGCTCTTGTTGCTGCGGCTTAACATTGTGAGATGTGGAACCGGGCTGCCGGTCAGTTTCACGGAATGAGTTTAATTCAAACAAGTTTCATTCGTGACCATTCACACTGATTCAAATTTCATTTGGTTTCACCACTCTTTGACAGTCTCTCAGTTGCGTCATTCTGTGTCTTGACCAACCCTCCCTGAGTAGCAAGTGACCTTGAACGAAAAGTAACTCCCTCCTCCTCCCCAGGGTAAGATTTGACATAAACGCGCCTTCGCCAAATATTCAAATTTCGTGCTTGTGCAGTAATCGGCTATGTTCGAATTTGCCTCGTAAGTTTCGCTATTGTAATGGTAGCGAGTTTGAATTTCCCTCGTGAATTAATAAGTCATTGTTCGGCTCTAAAGCTGTTGTTTCAAAATATCCTTCTATGGCCATATTTGAGACACTAAACAAAAGGTATTGTCTTTGAATTTGATCAGCTTTTCTTGATACGGAGTGAGTCTGAACATTGCTCTGTTAATCAGCTATCAGCATGTAATCTTAAAAGCGTTTTGAACTGCCCAAACAACTTCAAGAGATGGAAACGGCAAATGAGAACAGAAGACACTGAGAGCTCGGCTAAATTAAAGCACAGGCAGACTTGTAAATTCTTCAAAGACTTCAAACAGCACTCGCGCAAATTAGGCTCGTGCAGTTTTGTTGTCCTTGAAAAATTTACTCGTACTTATTACACCAATTGTGCCAATTGCACTCGAATTCGTGTAATTACCCGATGCTAATTTATGACAAAATAGTACTTCTATTGATTCATCAAACAGTTAAAAAGACGGTAAAAACATAAATGGTCAAAGAATCACTCTAAAATTTTCCGCGCTCCCAATGTATGACTTCATAGTTCAGTTTTTAACGCCAACACAAGTATTTGAGCGGCATGGGTTCGAATCTCGTTGAGACCTGAATTTTTCTTGTAGGCTTCTTTTCTGCAATTCAGCAGGTCAAATGAAATTTAATTCTTTACAAGTTGTTATGAAGTTTCCTAATAAGAGATAAAATCACCTGCGATCTCCGTGCCAATGACTGTACACACTTCCAACGCCAGTAATAAAGCCATTGTGTTTGCACTTAAGTTTCACTGGTTTGTCAAAGTTGTTGACGTAATGGTCTTTACCTACACAATCTCTTCTGCGATAGGGGTAGGGACCGTATCTACATGCAAAAGAGTAGATGCGATCTTTCTTGCAAGTTCGATGTTGACTGAGCCATTTTACCAGAGAGCGATCTTAAAAGAAAGCAAATTCTATTTTCAAGTGCTAATTTTCAATTTAAGTGAGAACTAGGCAAAACGTGTATTTTTTTTAAACCATTTTCACTTCCCTGCATTCTGATTGATTTGGGACTTATATCGTTTTTCTCTACCGCTAGATCTCACAGACAAATACTTTGAGTTTTTAGCTATTCCCCTAACGTGTTAAATGTGTCTAGAAATGTACCAAAGAACCAAAACATTTGACTATTTTCCGGCGCTTTATTTTCCACCCTTTGTTTTACTTTTTGTATGATTTCTTTCTTTTTTTTTTTTTCGTGGTTTTCAGTTGTAAAATGTACGCGGGTGTAACTTTAAGTGAAAAATTAGAAGAGTCTCGCCATGCTCATTGGGTGTTCGCCCCAATATGCATAAGTTTGCCGGCACACGTAGGAGCGGAGGTGTTCTAACCAAGCTTGCTCGGGACCGTACTGGAAGAATATCGGCCCTCGGTCTTTTTTGTATGGACCTCGCTGCGCTCGGTCCGTACTGTCAAGACCTCGGGCCGATATTCTCCCAGTACGGCCTTCGCGCTTGGTTAATAAGATATATGTAGTAGTCATGTTTTTGTGAGGTTGTAGAAACAGAAAAATGAAGTGATAGAGCAAGAAGCGAAATTCTTCATCAGGACTTGGTCATTTGTGATTACAGTGGCTCACGATCATTCCTTTTCTTGTGTGATGCAAATGGTGCTAAATGGCTCTCATAGTAATACCATAATTGTCTGACCATTTTTGATTGTTTGTTAGATTAACAACTTGTTTTGAAGTCTCACTGGACACCACTCGTGTGCTTGTACCTAACGTTAGGTCCCTAAGTTAAAGAAGCTCTCAATCAGACGTAAGAAATGTTCCTAAATGCGACTCTGATCAAAAAACCAGTTACGCTAGCCTATCCACGTCAAAGTCGTGATACAAGCGTTTATCCACCCGCTTTTATAACAGCAATTAATAAAATACCCTTTTCACTTTCAATGTGTTTGGCCTTTTTGTCTAGTGGCATGATTCTCCATGACGAGTCATGGCACAGGTGATTTGCCACCTGCTTTTATAGTAACCATACCCTTTTCTCGTAGTATTCAGACATGTCCGGCCTGTTGGTCCAGTGGCATGATTCTCGCTTAGGGTGCGAGAGGTCCTGGGTTTGACTCCCGGACAGGCCCGATCTTCGATGCTTTTGGAAAAATTTTTTAGATGCTATCAAACCGGGAAGTCAAACTTCCTTAGAAAAATTCATGGCGATTGCATTACGAATAGATTATTGACCAAGTGTGAGGTCGAGATGGCTGAGTATTGGCCAAGTTCGAGAACGACTCTATCTAAGACATTGCCAAAAAACTACGATCTTCGTACTTCCGCTCCACGCAGTGGTATTCTCGCATGGGATCTAAGCAGGTAATCTCAAGCGGGCAGGATGGGCCCATCTTGCCCTCTCGGGTAGCCAATCAGAAAACGGTATTTGCTTCATGTTGCCCACGGGCACTGTCAGCGATATAATAATATATGTGATACACTTATGTACACGCATGTACTTGTTTCCTTGTTCTTCAGGGGTCCTAATCCATTGCGTTTTCTTTTTCTTTGAGAGCTCTTATATTTGCTATCGAAGATTCATATTATGCTTCTGAAAGATAGAGAATGGCTGAACACGGGAATTTGAGATGTCCTTTATACGACGTTTTGTGCATTATCAATCAAGGGAGGCGACATTCCTATGGCTTTTGTCCATTTTAATAACATATTAAGAATCTTACTTTCCTTTGCGCGGGCTAGTGTATCAGTCATCATCCATCACTAAGGGCGAGGGTGGGGAAGCAGACCTTTTGGGGATCACATGATTTTAAAGGGGGAACGGAGGGTGGATCAGTCGTCTATAACAGAAGAAGGGGGAGGGAGGTCATTAAGAATATTACAAAGCCTTTGAGGGGATCAGTTAAATTCTTTTGTGTCCCAGACAAAATTCTCTTAGAACCCTTCCTCTTCCTCCTCCCCCCACCCCTAGACGACAAACAGTGACCGGTCCTTTAAAAGAAGGACAGGTTGAAATAAACATATTTCATTGTTGAATTCATAAAAAATACGTTACGAGACTCAACGATTTTTACTTTTCTATCTTCGTTCCGATTTCTTGTCTAAAACTGTCTTGATTCGGGTCTCGCTATTCTAGTGCCTCAACTATAAACTCATCTCATTAAAGAGAGGATAACGTCCTCTTTTTTCTTGTATGCTTTTGTAGATTCAAAAAATAAAAAAACAGAGTAAAGAATTTTAAAAATGGATAAATTTATGAAACATGTATCTGTTTTAAAGTTATCAAGAGTGATGTTGTAAAAATAAAACGACACGAGCATTATTTTCCTCCCACAGTTTGGATAAATTCATTCGTTCCACTGCACCTAGCATATGGTGAAATGAAGAGCTTTACACGAAGTTACGAATCACTGTCGGGATCCAGAAGTGGACTTCTGATTGCGATCGTATTCCAGGTCATTGCATGAGAACGTCTTATGTAACGATATAATCGTATTGCTGTAGGTGCAATCAAACGACAGAGTTGGGAGATGATGGCGAGAGCTACACACAGGGAAAGCCACAATGGGAAGAAAACAAGAACAGAGATCTCAATCCATTCCATGGCTTTTAAGTACCGTTTGCTCGGTCCATGGCGGCTTGTGCTAAACGAGATAAGAGTGGCCTTCGGAATGTTGATTAGCGAAATGATAACTAATGCAAAGAGGGATACTGTTTCGGTGTTGTTGGTGACGGTGTTGTGGTAAGGGTTCTTGAACAGATGGTGGAGAAGGATGAAAACGCAAAGTGTAGCCATGAGTACTAAACACAGCATTTCATCGTCAACAAACGCACGGCAAGCAAGGAGTATTAAACGGCGGCCAATCAAAACACTCTCCCAGTATAGAGTTCCATCATCTTCGTCGTTTGGTGGGCGGAATGGTCCTTGTAGTACTTCCAAGACAGGTTCGTTCACAGTCTTCCCTCTTACTAGCGATGCCTCGGTGTTCGCCCTCATTTTGATTCTTATGAACCAGTATATCAGGAACGGCAGTGGCATAATGCATGCTCCGAGGAATTCACCTGTCGAAACCACTCCTCGATGAAGTTGAAAAGAACCCAAGTAAAGAACGAAGAAGAAAGGCATGACGAATACTATAACGTATGCTAGTAGTGCATATTGCCACCATTGCCAGCATGTAACAGTTCCATCGAGGTAGAGACGCTTTTCAGAACCAATAGGAACGCATCGCAAAAGCTTCAAAGATGTTTCTGCTAACCGTTCGTATCCAAGAAGCAGTATCTCTATGATTGTCGCCATGTATCGTTGAGGAGAAGGGACTGCCTTTCGTCGTAAAATGTTGAAACTAACGTGTAACCAATATATGATGAAAACTTCTGTCATGGTGGCAAAAACTGTTCCAGACTGCATCAACTCCTTAGTCACTGCTGTAAGGCCAACAAAAGGACATCCCGCTATTTCTTTAAATATCCGAAATCGGAAATTGAAACCTGCTACGATTACAGATATGAAACTTATTTTATGGAGCAAGCCGTCGGTGGAACCAACAGTCAGTACCTCGGCAGCTTGATAGAAATAAAAGATAATTTTGAGATAACCGCTGTCCAGCTGCTCACCGACGTCACCTAAGTCTTCCCTTACCATCCCATGTTCTTGTTTTCTAAACCAGAATATTTGGTTTTTGAGAAAATTGAAAATTGGTGGTTTGGTTAAAAGGTATGTAGCTAGGCTAGCTGTTGCCAGTATTTTTAGGAACCAGAACATGCTGTTACTGCACTTTTCGTTCGCCAGGCAATCGGTAGAAAGAAGAGTCTCACCAAATCCTGGAGCGCAAGAACCGCATAAGATACTGGTTCTGTTTCCAACACACTCGTTGTATTCTGTAGAACCAGTAGCTGGACTTTGACAATAACTGCTGGGACAAGGAATAAACTGGAGCTCACGCAGGCTTTCGGTACTCTGATATCCCCAGAAATTATCGTCCGCAGTTATGATTCCAGTTTTACAAGTGGCCCCAAATGGACATTTAAAGCACTTCATCTTGACCACAGCTAAACCACGTGAACGTCCTCCCTCAAGGCTGTAATGATCTGGAGCACAAGTCCAGCACGTAAATTTTAGGCAGGTAACATTGAGTTTGCAAAAATTCTTAAAGTTTTCAGATGAAGAATAATGAGTAGTATTTTCAAGCCAAAGCTGGCTTCCTCTGTTGCACTGAATGCTTGTATTGTTGTCCATGGAAAAGTATCCTCCACTAGAAATATAAAGCACAGGATATGGACTCCATGTAGATACAAATGAAGTCATGGATGTGTTTTCCAATTTCATTGGCCCGCCACTTTCAGAATATAAGAGTATTGCTTTAGAAAACGTACGATTTCTCAATTCCAAACTTTCTTTTGTTCTGACAAAGAAGCAGTCTTTGAAAAGCACTTGACCCGTTCCATAGGCAGAATAAACATGACCTGCTTGTTCGATACCAAAATTGTCTCGGAAGACACAGTTTTGAAACGTGGTGTTTCCGTTGTTGATTGACACTGCACCTGCTATAATACCCGTATTATCTTGAAATATGGTATTCTCAATTACCACGTCACAGCCGTACGTCCACAATGGGTGAGTATCGTTTGTGGTATTCCGTTGCACACATCCGGATTTTAGCGGTGTATCAGGGGTTGTGATGATTGATAATGCGCCAGTTGCTGTCTCATAGAAATAGTAGTTAGCTGAAGCACTACTTGGCGGCATTGTCCACTTTTCACGATAGAGACAGACACAGTTTCTAAAGGTGGACCGTTTTATCCACAGTGTTTTACTACCATGGAAGAAAAGAGCAAAATTGGTGGATGGCCTGTTATCAAAAGTATTGTTGTCTAGGCCGATAACCGCCTTAGAAATATTCAGCTTTGCCAAAGGTGGAATGTGAAAGCGTATGGCATAGCTTCTGTTCCAGGATTCTTTGCTAGTGAAGACCGTATTTTGAATCATGAGACGCACCGAGCTTGGGTCACGAAGACTAAAAAGCATATCATAAATGTTATTTTTAAAACTACAATTATAGATTGAGATATCGACTGGGAACAATTCTTGTCTAGGATCAGGTCTTATAATCATTTTCAGTCCATAATGCGCATGCACCACCGATACATTCACAAGTTTAAGTAGGTATTTGGGACTTATTGACAAAGCTGTTCCTGGTTTCGTCGCATTGTTCGTAATCAACGTGTCCACAATGGTGACGTTTCCCCCAATTGAATTCGGCGCTGCCATTGAAATCGAACTTCCTTCATTATCCGTAAAGGAAGACCTCGAAACAGTTATGGCCGTTTTACCATGTCCTATTTCCCTTGCTATGTGCAAAGAGCTGCCACTCTTTTGCAAGTTATTTCTCCACTGGGACTCCGTTATTTTAATCACACCACTTTTCAAACATAAATAGACAATGATGCATTTTTGGACTGTCTTTCTATGACAACCAACAATATTTGCATTACTGATCGTCAAATGCATCTTGGACGGACATGATGCATAATGTTGTCGTTGTAAAGGTGGCTCTCCTGCTGCAAGTGCACAACCAGTCTTTGAGGCTTCACAATGTTTAAATTCAACGTCGGTGAATTTTGCCATGAAAGTTCCATTTGGAGCATTAGCAAACACACAACCACCCAAGATGGCTCCATTCGAGGTGAAATTGGTATTTGACACGTTTAAAAGTGCAGTAATGTTTGCCACCAGAAACAAACCGGCTCCTTTTTTCAGACTAGGTTTACCATACTGCCCAACGAGTTTGGAGTTACGAATTTCCACGTCAGCTTTCTTCGCCTGAATTGCTATACATCGGAAGTTAAAGTTTTGGATGCAATGTAAGTTAATGAACCTTATGCGAGTTTCTCTTGTAACTGAGTAATAAAGACTATCTGCCCCAAATTTGCTGGCCACTTTCTGCGAAAGTGATTGGGTGTTGTCGAGCAAGCGAACGTCTTTGTAAGTTTCCTCCGTCACAGCTGATGAAGCATTTAAATTCATGAAATAACCATAATTCTTTGAACATGTTATATTCTGAAAGGAGGCAATGATTCGGGCGGATGTAACTTCTACTTCCGCCTCGGTCGTTACTTTGATTACTCCACTTTCACTCAGGGTTCTTTTTTGTAATCCATTTCCCATGAAGTGCGTGTCGGTAACTTTCATGGAGACTAGGGAAGTGCCATTGGTACCCGTACTTAACAACGAGAGCTTTATACAGAATACCTCATTGTAAAGGAATTTCGAGTATTGAATTTCCAACTCAAAAGCCTTATTGTCCTGAACTTGAACCGTCAGCGCAGTCGGGGCGTTTTCAAACAAACAGTTAATGATATTCACGTTCAAGCTGTCACTGAATGTCAAAGGTGTTCCATCAAAGATTATTCCTGATAGCTTTATCCCCGATGACTGCCCTTTGCTAGGGTAAACCTGGAAATTAATGCCGCAATAACAGGATACACGAGGCTTAAAATATGTGCCTTCAATTGTTACACTTTTGTTTATGTTGAAAGCGGTGTCACTGTCCCCACAATCGAACGGATACTTTTTGGTACCAGTCCCATTTAAAAGTATCATTCCGTCCCAGGTCACCCTGAGAACGGCCAACTTCATCGATCGGCATGGTTCGTCTTGGGACCCACAGTTGACAAAGTCGCGTCCAAAAGTGGAGACGTAAACTTCTTGGAGGTACGTATTAGCTGGAGACTCTAAGAATAAGAAATTTTTTTAATGTGGGATACAAGACTGAATTTCAAATCTCTTATTCCCAAAAGTTGCAACATTTGTTTGGGATGGCACGACTCCTAGAGAAATACCCTCATTTTCAAAGGGAAACAAGTTATTGGAGGACAGATATCGTTACACGAATTTTAATTAATCTAATGTAAGATTAGAATGTAAGAATAACCCATAGATGTAATTTTCGGTTTTAATATAAACTGAATTTTCGTTCATTACAGACTTTCATCAAATTACTTTCGGTAATCGTAGAGATCTTATCAACAACAACGAGAACAACAACAAAGAAACGAAAGAAATATCATTTCTGCAAATCGGTGAACTTGTGGTAAAGTAGGGGGGGGACAGGGGGGTCGGAGTCTCCCGCTTCCCGTGCCACGCTCTTTCGCCTCCCGTACTTGTGTGCCCCCTTGCCTCCCGACTCCCGCCCTCCATTGTGTTGCTCCCGTCTTCAAGTTAATCAAGAGGATCAGAAACCCGGGTTTAACTTTTAAACAGAGCTAAAAGTTAATATTCTTGTTCATTTCGGCTGACCTTTGTTTTGGCTGGGGATCATTAGTTCCCGATGAAAGCTACTACTGGTCAGTTTTCTTACTAAACTAAGTTTCACTAACCGGGTTATCACTGTTTGATCGTCGCTTCTGACATCTCGTCATAGAGACAAAAGTCTCAGCTCACTATGTGATGTAATAGCTGTTGCCAATTCAAAATCAAATGAAAAAATCAAGAGGTAAACGTAACGTTTAGAGTTTGCTTCTTCTGTATTCGTGCTTGCTTTCCCTTTTTGT